GCGAAAATTTATGACAGCCGTCTTTGTTGTTTGTTATTTTCATTGAAAGGTAAATTGTTGTTTTTGTGTAATTTTTTTGGTAAATGTCGACTGTCCAAATTACACATATTCCCTCTGGATAGACTATACATATATTAGGTTAATTTAGAAATAATTTGTGTACTTACGCTGCTGATTCGACCTCCTGATTATATTCTCCAAGAACGTGTTTTGTGGGGCGACGAGACCCCGTCTACCCCCGGGCATTGTGGCGGTAATTTTGACTAATTTTTCTCGAACGCCGGCACCTGAAAAACGTCCTCCTCGACATGTCTTTCCGCTCCAATTAAATCCCACGTCTCCTCCAACATTGCCATCACCATAACCATGAGGGAACCAAGCGTTGTCGTCGGACTTTTCCTCGATTTTATTTTTCGGTGAAAACTCGATTTCGGCATCGCGTCACGACCGCAAACCTCGGGAAAATCGGAATAATATATGACGGGTGATTATGAAAATATGCAACGTTGTCGCTACATGATCAGGTTACATAAACCGCACAAATATTGAGGGATGACAAACGTTGTGATGAGCGAGGGAGGGCGTCCTGGATTGGCGGAATATGTCGGTGAACTGGTAAAGGGTTGGAAAATCAGCCGCGTTTTGATCGTTTCGCAGCGTTGCCGGATTCGTTTATTCGACCCTTCGAATAGGGCTTATGCGCAAAATAAATTTGTCTGAAAATTACTCTTTAAAATATACTGCAATTAACTCCACGGAGATATTAACATATTTTTCTAAGTGGCTTTTAACGTAAGATAAATATTTAGTTTTATTCAGGGGGTTTTATATTAAAACATGTATAAAACTAAGTATTTATTGTTACGGTAAAAGACACTGAATTCAGAATTCTGGGTGAAAAATTATTTAGTAAATCCTTATTCAACTTCAGTTTTGGTTATACAGTAGTATGTCTCCGAATCGTCTTTACAACAAGAAAAACTTTTTATTATCAATTAACATTTTGAGAAATGATTAAATTCGTTTTTACGTTTCCAAATTTTCATATAGTTTTACAGAAAATTACAAAAAATATTAAAATATGAAACGTCCTAAAAATTAAAGCGCGTTACTACGATAATATCATTTCCTTTTCTTTCTTTCGTGGATGGATATTATTATTTTTAATTTAATAATATTTTTCACAGTACTAAAATGTTAGAGAAGCACAAAATTTCTTTTCCATGTAGCGAATGTTAAAATTGCCTTATATCTATCAAAAATAGTAGATAAAATAGTACTTTAACCGCAAGGGTGGAATACTTTAACAGCGAGGATAGGTTAAAAACTTTATTTCTTCTCGCACGTTTTTTAATTGCTTCCATTTTTCAAAATTTTTGTATTCCTTTTCATAAGTTATTCGGGATTTAAATGAAAATAGTTTGGATATGACGTTTGTCGCCTCAGCCTGAATATCTGTTGGTAATTTACTTATTAATTGATGGTGAACGGTGGCGTAGAGGTACAGGCTCTCGTCTACCAATCTCAAGGTAGTGGGTTCGAATCCCACACCCGGCATTGCATCAGCCGACTATTTTTATTAAAATAAAAATAGTTTGGGTACCTAGGTCGACTCAGCCTTAAATGAGTACTTGGGATTCACAATCCCGAGGTAATAATAGGCTGTTGAAGCGTAGTGCTAGCAGCCACATTACCTTCCTTGTATACCGAACGGCTCTAGTATGGCAAGCTGTACCTTGCTATTCCCAAGGCGTTAAACGCTGTATACGGGAGCTATTATTATTATTATAATTTACTTATTTCGTTTTGAGCCATTTCTGGCTCCAAAATTCAATTAGCAATCGACACGAAAGAGAATTAAAAAATATTGACTCAAAACTGACAACTAAAGAGACAGCTTATTTATTTGTCAAATTACATAGAAACCAACACCAATCCAGCGCAATATTTTTTTCTATTCGTAATAAATTCCTTGAAATAATAATTTCTGAATATTTTTTAAAACGTAACTCGCCATGGAAAAAAATAGTGTTTTATACACGACGATAAAATTGCATTATCGTCTCCCGAAATTAATTCACTCGCGATTTTATCGCTCGTGAATTAATCTTTTCGGTCGACGATAAAATTCCATTTTATCGTCTTGTATAAAAAATAACCAACAGTTCAATGTTACGGAAAAAGATATGCTAGTTATCGGAAAAGATGATTCTTTAACAACAGCAACAAATAATACGTTAATCAAACTTTTTTTGTAGTAAGTATGTTAGTATTGTAGTAAATTAGTGTTTTATTTTGCTGTTGTAACACCAAGATTTCAACCCCCAACCGTAGTTGAGTAACTGGTTAATTGGTAAAAGTGAAATCAATACACCTCAAGATTTACAACAAAGATTACAGAATCCATTCGGAAATACGCATGGTGTTTCAAAAAACATCTGCTATCTCTTATGGGGAGATTTTTCACGTAAAAGAAGATTTATTTTTCATATCAACATAAGTCCGATTATGCTTTGTTTCGTAGCCACAGGGTGTTAAAGTCTTCATAATCTTTCAATTTATTATAATTTTCTTCCAAGTACTTTTAGTAACACGAATGTAATTTTGAGGTTAAAAATTATTATAAGTGCTACATATTTTAATGCTAAAAAAATTATATTAAATTAAAATTTTTTAAAAAAGAAACATGTGCGCCACTAATTTTTTTTCTTTTGATTTAAAAACTACAATGTTTGATTTCTAAATTAGCCGTTAGGCCGTTTAATGCCAATTGATATTTTGTTGAATTCGGCCTCTTTGATGAGAGAAACGCATTTTGATTAATTACAATTTTACCTAATTTATAATTAAATATTATTACTATTAGTCCAACCTACAGCAATTTCAAATAAAAAAAATGTTATTTAAGATAATTATTACAAAAAAAAAATTAAACAGTTTTAACATCCTGTAACTCTAAAATTATGCATTTTCATATATATATTTTTAATGAGGAATCAATGAGTAGTTATTTACAACTTTCGCAAGTTAATTATATTAAAATTTTGCTCTTATAAAAGGTTGCTATTAGACTTGGATCAAGGCAAATTAATAAAATTGCGTTTGTCTCATCAAGGAGGACGAAATAGACAAAATATCAAGAGACAACTTTTAATCGGCATTAAACTGCTTATAGTATTTCGCTAAGAAGAGAAAAAAACTCAGTGGCGTATATGTTTTTTTTTTAGAAAAATATACAAGTAATAACTAATATGCACGTCCATGGTGAATATGTCGACAGTTTTTAGCTTTAAAATATGTCGCATTTATAGTAACTTTTACCCTCAAAATTATAGTAAATCGAAAAAAATATTAAAACTTTAACACCCTGTAGCTATGAAACAACGCAGAATCGGATGTTGATATAAAAATTAAATCTTATTTTTACGAAGGAATCTCCCCACGAGAGACGGCACATTAAAACACCCCGTATACTGTATAATTTTGTTGATAAAAATATGAAATTACAAAATACTTATCCACAAATATATTTTTATAATTAAAAATGATTTAAAAACTCTATATATACATGGAAAACTCAAGAAACATGACAACAGTGTTAAAAATAATAATAAAGGGAAATCGACATTGAACACTAGCGCTCTATTTGATATGGCGGATTTTTCCTAAATTAATTTTTATGACAGCAAAAAAATGTAAAATTTCTGTATGCAATTTTTACAGAAAACTTCAGCCGTTGCAAGATAGATCGATATGAGAAAGGTCACAATCTGAGTAGAACAGGGGTCTTTTCAGGCGTTAAAAGAGGGTGGATGTACGAAAATCAATAAAATGTAAACGTAGTAGGTTGACCTAGATGTCGCTAGATGTTCTAACTTGGAAATAATACAGAAATAATTTTGAACTATTAAATGTATTTTTTTTTCTATTTTGCTTTTTATGACGTACTGCCCAAAACACTTAGATAACTTTGTTTTTCGGGGGGAATTTTAGGCAGTGACATTTTTGAAAAAATAACTTTTTTAACTTATAGCTTTCTGTTGGCGAAATACCTAGATTTTTTTCCCTTCAAAAAGTCCTAAAACAGAACATCCTATACAAAGAAAATAGAAAAAAAAACAATTTAAAAATACATTCAGAAAGATTCTCGCAAACCTAAGATTTCTCAACATTCATGGGACACAGGGCAAAGAGTAGATTTTAACAACGCAAAAATTATTATGAAAAAAGCCTCTAAACGAAGAATAAAAGAGCTTTTTTAATAGTCCAATATAATAAGGTAATTTGGGGTAATATGGCCCACTTTCAGCTTTTTATTCCAGTATTTTAACCTGAATGTGCAAAAAAAAGTATTCTCATACCAAAACTTTTATTTATCATCAAATAACATAAACAAATACTCTAAACAAAAACAAATATAAACGAACTGCTAAAAATAGTTTTTTTTAATTAAATAAAAACGGGCCTTATTTTCGCCGCTTATGGTAATACGGCCCATGTGAAAATAATATGGCGAAAAATTGGCCCATACTATGGAGAGCAGTTTGGACATTCAAACTCGTCTCTGTCTTTAGTAGTAAGACCTACACAATCTTCGTGTACCCACTTTTTACATGTCGAGCATTGCCGCATATCTTCAACACGAGCCACTCCACACACACTACACATCCAGCTGGATAAGTCTTCGACGTTTTCTGTTTTCTTTGTGCTTCTAGGCTTGGAAGATTGAAGGATTCGTTGGCTGGATGACTTTTCCGAAAATAAGTCTCTCTTCAGAACCTGAGCTTTATAGTTTACTGCTTTTCGTCTTGGAGTTAGTTGTTTTTTTATGCTAAAATCTGGAGTTGGCAAAAGATTTGTCATTTTTTTTGAAATTTCATCTTGTCCAGTGACAGAATGATAAGAGATCTGAGAATAAGGCTGAATAACCAAATTTGAAGTTTGCTGACCGGTAGGTTGAGTAGCAGGCTGATTGGATGACCAAGCGTCAGTTGAAGTGGCTAGTTGAGTAGCAGGCAGACTGGTGAAGTTAGTGGAAGGCTGAAAGGCAGACTGAGTGGCTGGATGAGTGGCAGCAGGTCGAACGATAGAGACGTCCAAATTTTCACTTTAGAAGTTTTAGTTTTGGGCTGGGTCTCTGTTACTGAATTTTCGGTCCAAAATGAACATCCTGGTTTAGACTCTCCGGCCGGCTTCAGTTTTTTTGCTAACACGTTCAATGACACATCGGAATCGGAATCATCTTCGATTTCTTGATTCGGATGATTAATTTCTTGAAATGTCAACTCGGATGGCGCAAAAGCTGTTTCCGGTATTACTGAGGGGTCGAAAGGAAAAATTCCTGTGGCCCTCAAACCACTTTGTATATTGGAAATACTCATGCATTGCTTCCAGACTGGATTGAGTATTTTTCCAAAATTCTCTTTTTTGATCGATCTTAAATTGGTAGGATTATCTTTCCAATATCGCAAAATTTCGGAGTCCCAGTAATGTTCAAATGCTCTGAAAGCGGCTTTATCAAGAGGCTGTAATTCATGAGTGGTGTTGGATGGCAGGCAGTATAATGAAATTTCAAAATTCTCTGCTGCATCTACAATAGAAATATCGAGATGACACGATGCGCCATCTAGGATCAATAGAATTCTACCAACTGGCTTAAATTTTGAAAAATGGTGTAGCCACTGAACAAAAATTTCTCTGTTCATGCTGCCCTTCTCGGCCATAGCAACTGCAGAACGAGGTGGCAGATGTTCCTTGTAGCTTTCTTTCAGTCTCGAGCCCTTAAAAATTATGAGCGGCGGTGCAGCATGACCCAGAGCGCAGACACAAGCCACTATAGTGCAATTTTCCGCATGCTCATTGGAAATCAAATGAACACGACGAGATCCTTTTTTTGCCAAAACTCTTTGACCGTGATGCGGCGTCAGCCTGCAGCCCTTCTCATCAATATTAAAAATTCGTTCTGGAGAGTTTTTAATATCCAGTGCACTTAGAATATTTTCTAATTTATTGAAATGATCTTTAGTAATGAACGGATTTAATTTTTGGGCCCGTGCAGGATTTAAATTTTGGGATCTCCTTTGCGACAGGATCGGATTCCTTCTGAGGAATGATTTATACCAATCGTATCCAGCCATTTCTTTTTCGTTGTGAAATTTGTGACGGATATTATTGTCAACGCAGTACCTGTAGACCAGTCTTCTCAACGATTTAGGAACAAGTGGTACCCCGAGCTCTGCTAACCGTAAAATGCGAGAAACAAGAGCCCGCTCTTCCTTTTTACTCAGTAAACTTCTTCTGCCCAAGTTTCTTGAGGAACTTCCAGTTTTTAAGTGATTCCGAAGTGTTGTTCGAGGAATACCACACTTTTTCTCCACATCTCTTTGTGACATTCCTTTACTTAGTAGATCTAAAGCTTCACGCATCATTTCTTCGTTCCAGTTAGCTCGGACACCTCTGTTTTTTTTTCCATGATCTGAAAATCATAAACACGCTTTATGTCGAAATTATGGCCCATGGCGAAAATACGGCCCATGTTAAAATTTGAGTGGGCCATATTTTCGTCAATCACCTGTTGTGAATTTAAGGTTATGGCAATTTCTTGGAAAAACAAATATCAAGTTTCTTGGCAAATTCTGTGCCCTAAGACTAAACATTTTTACGTCAAATAGATACTTACCACTTTTTTTTTCCACAACTCGAAATATACACTGTTTAATTTAGTCTAAAATTAGAAAAATAAGCCGGGAAAACAAGAGATGTTTTTATTTCATAAACTAAATTATCAGCAGCCTGCAGCGATACCAAAATGTTTTCTGTAAAAGGAAAGCCTTCCGAATTTGTGGCAATGAAGAATAGATGGCGCTTCAGTGTTTATAAATACTGAACGGGCCATATTTTCGCCCGGGCCATAACACCCTAATGTACCTTAGTTATTTTTTATACAGGACGATAAAATGGTATTTAATCGTCGACCGAAAATATTAATTTAATTTTATTAATTTGGGAAGGCGATAATACAATTTTATCGTCGTGAATAATCGTTTGAAAAATTATCGTTTGAAAAAATATTCAGAAATTATTATTTCAAGGAATTTATTACGAGTAGAAAAAATATTGTGCTGGGTTGGCGTTGGTTTCTATGTAATTTGACAAATAAATAAAGCTGTCTCTTTAGTTGTCAGTTTTGAGTCAATATATTTTTATTCTCTTTCGTGTTGATTGCTGATTGAATTGGAGCCAGAAATGGCTCAAAACGAAATAAGTAAATTACCAACAGATATTCAAGCTAGGGCGACAAACGCCATTTATCCAAACTACTTCCATTTAAATCCCGAATAACTTATGAAAAGGAATACAAACATTTTCAAAAATGGAAGCAATTAAAAAAACTTACAAGAAGAAATAAAGTTTTTAACGTATCCTCGCTGTTTAAGTATTATTAAATTTAATCTACCCTTGCGGTTAAAGTACTATTTTATCTACTATTTTTGATAGATATAAGGCATTTTTAACAGTTGCTATGGAAAAAATAAATGTATTGCTCAGACATCTGTAGAGGTCAGTAATGTATGGCTGTCGTTTTTTTGATTTTAATGAACTTTGCATTCATAAATAAACATAACATCAGTAAAAATTAAAAACAAATAAAAAATAATCATACACAGAAAGTTTGAGGCTTTTTGGTTTTATCTCATTAAGTAACTGTTATCAGGTAGTAATTGTTAATTTAAGTTTAACACATTGCCTGGAAACTTATATGGTGAAATTTTGATAAAATAATTTAGTACTCACTAAAAACACGGTACGTCGCTAGTGGTAGGAAAAATAATTTTTAGAGGTTACTAGTTTATTTGGTTGCCTGTGATATGCATATACAGGGTGTTTTCTAATTAATCTAAAAAATTAAAAAATCGTTAGAAAACGGCTTAAGGCGGGCTCTCTCGGCAACCGTTTGATGAACAAGAAAAACTCAAAAGATCAGTTTTGTTGAAAAAGGATGGCCAGTCAAGAAGAAAATATATTTTCTTTAAAAAAGCAGTAGTGTACCATTTATGTTAAGCAAAATATCGATTTTTTTTTATTTTTAACACCCTGTAGATCAGAAAGGAAGTACTTTAGACCTAATGGTTATATATTTCTGACTCAAAAATCCACATTTATTTATAATAATTTATTAACGAACACAATTAAGTATGTCATTAATTAGTATATGGGCGGAAATTATGGTGTTATATTTAATTAATGGTATACTCTTTTATAAAGATTTAAATAGTTTTCTTTTTGCATACAAATGGGCTAGTAATACTATCGTTTTGCTAAAAACGATAATATTACTAGTCTGTACATTTTGTACATTTGCTGGTTTAAAAACAATCTAAAATGTCAATATTCCATGGATATATTGATAAATGAGGTCTAAATTATAAGAAAATGCATTTTCTACGAAAACTGGGAGGGATAGGTAAAAAATGGTATAATACAATTTGATAGACAATTTAATTGTGCATCTGATTCTCCTAAAATATACAGGGCATTCTATTTAAATTAAAGAAGTTACTGCCGTTTGAAACTAATAATTATTTAAAATAAATTTTTAGACACTCTGTATAAGGTAGTATTATTTTTATTATTGCAACACAATAACTGATCAATGAATAAACTTCATTAAATATTTAGTATTAAAAACATTGATACCCTTGGAGAAATGAAGCTTTAAAATTTTTACTGCAATTTCACAAAATTGAAAACATTTCAAAAACGGTAAGGTTTAAGTATAATAAACCTTAATCAAATTTACCTTTATTTTAATCGTAGAAACTAAAAATGTAATAATATACAGGGTGTTCCATTTAAAAAAATACAACTTTGATATTTTTTATTTATTTGGGACACTATGTATCTTGTAAAAATATTTTTAAATTGTAGCTCTAATAGTCCTTCAACGAACCCCAAATTTACAATTTGTAAAAATCTCATCGTTTAGCTACAATACTCCGTGTCGTATGTGGTGAACAACCCTGTATATTATTTTCTGATAAATTTAGGTTTTCCTAGTCTGTAGTAAGTAAAGTGATATTATTTTCCTCGATAGTAGGTAGTTATTTCTGCTTCTTCACTCCTGGGTATTTTTTGGGGTGGTTCATCACTCTACAAATTACAAAAAAATGTTACATTACGATTAATCAAAGTAAAGCAAACAAATTATTAAAATTATAAGTTTTGGTCACATTTTGGTTTTTTTAATACGACGACTTGAAATTCTAAAATTTTTGTAATTATTTGCATAAAAAAATCGATACCTATATTCTTATTCTATCTACAGTCACGCATGCATTATCTATACAGGTCTCTTACCTTCAGATATAGCAAATAAATGCTCTAATTTTCATTTTTTCAGAAACTCCTTTAAAGAATCCATATATCCTAAAATTTGTCCATAAAAAATGACATGTTATACGATATGCGTTTAAAAAGCAAATTATGCAAAATTCCAAGCGGAAAATTCCAAGCAACAAAACCCGTGCATACTATGATGTGCGACCTATGAAATGCGACGTGAGACTGATCGGACTGCCGACTGATTGTATATACCGTTCATCGTCATCGTCTTTCCGTGTCGTTATTATTTTTCATCAAAAGAGTATTTAGCTATTGGAAAAATGGCCATGTTTCTTGAATGAAGTACTTCCTAGCGTATTTTTGTTATTATCTTTAAACAAAGTAACTTGCACTTGGTTGAATGAAAATAGATTCATGAGAAATTTTCGAATTTTTCAAGAGAACAAGTTTTCTTGAGTTAAGAGAGTTTTTCTTCAGGCAAAATATTTTCTTTTACGCTAAAATAAATTCTCTTGCCACTAATTTTTTTTTCAAGAACGATGACGACTTTAGTTCAAGTCTATCTTTTTTATCAGTGTTCAAATGATTTAAGTCTTAAGTCTTTTACTTAAATCATTTTATTTCAAGTCGTCATTTTAGTAAAGACTTAAATCAATATAATGTAATTTTTAGTCCTTGTATGGAAGTTATTAAGTATGTCTTCTTGTGTAATTTAAGTCATTTTTATGACTTAAGTCTATATTTTTGATTTAAATCATGACCATCTTCGAGTTAAATCGGCAAAATGACATAAACCACTTAAAATAACTATAAATACAAACAACAACTACAAACACAAAAATATGTTTTTTTTATGAAATTTAACCGATTTTGTAGTACTTATTACCATTACAGTTTAGATGTCATCGAATACAAGTCTGTTAAAAAGTGGTCGATGGCATAAGCTAAGGACTGAAGGATTTTCAGATAGTCTTTCAATATATTCGAGATCAATTTCTTTCGTTCGTCTTTTTGGCTACATAACGGAGCGGAAATTCACTTGAAAGACAACAGACTCACTAACGCACGCGTAACACGACAAATAATTAAAACCGGTTCCGAAGAAGTAATACTTTATTTGCTAGTGGTATTCAGCATTTTTTATTCTGCTGCTTGGCTGCCGCCTAACAGTTTAAAAAGAAATGCCGCTGTTAAAATTTTACCATAAAAATATATAAAAACTTACGTCATTAAAACGATTTAAATCAAAAAAATACTTAAGTTTTCTGTGCGCTTGCAGCTCTGGACATAAGGACAAACCTCTTTGGATTGCATTAAAGTATAAATATTCCTTGTTATCGACTTGAACTTCCACTGATCTCGCGTAATACCCATAGGATTTTTTTTGGAGAGACGAATCCGCCATAGAGGTATACACATATCTCGACACATATTTACTCAGATTTTTTATGATATTAATTTGAAAGCCTTAAGCTTCATTCAGAACCTCGCAATTAATGGTTTCAATTAGCGTAGAAGTTTGTTCCTTTAATTTCAATGTAAGCATTCAGAACGTCAAAATTAGTGGTAGTCATTTTCGATTAAAAAAAAGTTAACAAACTTTTGACTTTTCCCAGGGCCGGCGGAAGGCAAATATTGAGACCGGGCGAGTACCCTATCTGCCCCCTCCCTCCCAATGTTATTATAATTCTCTTTTTCTCTTCTTTCAATACTATCCTTTAGCAACAACTAAGCATATTTTATGCTACTGTAACAATAGATTTTCACTTAAAGATACTTCAAAATTCTTCTTTTCTTTCAATCTTAGTCTGCGGTTGTTGTTTTTTGTATACCGGGTGCGTCTCGAATTGACTCACCCCTATAACTTTTTAATTTTTTCTACATAAAAAACGAGATTTGGTATGTTAGTATATGACATAAATTAGGATTAATTGACTATTCAGTTGTTTTTGGCCACTTCCTGTTTCACCGGAAATTACTACAAGTTTTGATTTTTAAATGGCACCTCGGTATATTTCTACTTTATTTGATAGAAAATGACACTCTGAGTAGAATGACATATCATATGTCAACTTTTGATATTTTT